AAGAACAGTGTAAAAATACTGAGTATCCAGAATAAAGAAAGATTTCTAGCTAACAAACCAAATATTTGATCATACCTTTCTTAAACATATTTGAAAATGTCTGATGGTTCTCGGCGAACCAGATGACAAAGTAAATACTGCCGCCTCCTCATCTGTGTTCCGATATCAACAAAATAGAAAGAAAAGAGTTTAACAAGTCATCTATTAGGTGTTCCAGATACTCTTTACAATTTATTATTATAATTAATATTGAGACAAAGGAAGTTTCTTCTTGCTCAAAAATTAAAAAAAAAAACATGTTACTAATTATTTATTATTCAGTGTAATCTCCTATTCTAGTTATTTCCTCACCTCTTGTTCTGTTCTACTCTGCAGTACTCTGCTTGTTGTATGATCCTCTTAAAGACTATCAAGGTTTGCAATATTCTTCCTAGAATTCTCAATGTTTGTTCATACTACTTGCTTCAAACTTTTTCTTATTCTACCCCTGCAATGCATGGACTCTGCTGCCATTGTTTGATATGCTGAGGAGGAATTCAAAACTTGACTGGTTGAAAAATAATCATGTAAGGACAGACAGAAATATTAGAGTACTTCAACTTTTACAGAGATGATATTAGAGTGCTTTAAATTTCACAGATTAAGTGCTTTAAATATTTCACATAGATTAATATCATTATGATTTACTAAAGTGAAACAGTAATACCCCAACCCTAAACATATTTTCAAATTTTAATTTTAATCTTCATGATGTGACAGATGCAATATCTGCCATAAACACTTTCTTCTTTTGATCTTTATGATGTTGGTTTGCTGGAACTTGTTTTTTAACCTGTCCATTATTTTATTGTGATTTTATTTAAAACCAAATTTATTTAAATATTTTTTTAGTGCTTAATTTCTTGTTCAATTTTGAATTACAGTTCTCCCTCCAATTTGAAACCACCTTTGGGACCTCGAAATTTGGGGTGTTCTCGGGGTTGGTCCCCAATTAGAGGGCTAGCTTTACATAAAATTCTTTTCAAATTCTTCCACATTGTTAAAAATACGGTATCATTAAATATTTTTTTTAGATGATCATTTTACCTACACAATTCTTAACATTGTGTATGGCTTCCCTCCTGTATGCACACTCTCAAATGTACAGAAAAGTGCTAAACTGTTTCTAAAATTGTTTCCAAAAATGTTGAATTTATAATTTTCTTTCTTCTGATATGTATCCTTAAATGTTTTTTAAAGTGTTATACAGATTGAACTTCTTTCCACAATGTTCACTTACACATGGTGTCTGTGCTGTATGTTATTAATACACATGTTTTTTAATGTTCAAATTTGATTAAAACTTTGTTTAACAATTACCACACTTGCATGGAATATCCTTTCACAATGATCACATTTTTCCTATTTGTAGCCTCAAATCATTAATGTTTCAAAATGTTCGCATTCAAGTGATTTATCTTCTGAATCCTCAAATGAGTTTTCAAATTGATACTGTGTTTAGTTTCTTTTCACACTCATAAAGATTGCTTTCGTTTGTGAATTTCTTTCCACAATGTTCACATTCATAAGGTGCTCCTCTTTTATGCATCTTTAAATGTCTCTGCAAATGACCCAATTGACGAAACTTCTTCCCACAAATTTCACATTTGTATGGCATCTCTCCTGTATGTATCCTTAATGGTGTTTTCAAAGTGTCATTTCTACTAAACTTTTTTCCACAATGTTCACATTCATGTGATCTTTTATGTATCCTCATACGTGCTTTCAAAGTTATACCATTTTAAAATTTATTTCCACACTTGTATGGGGCGTCTTACTTGTGTATCATCATGTGTGATTTTGAACTAATACTGTCTTTAAATTTCTTTTCACAATGTTCACATTCATGTAATGGCTGTATTCCACATTGTTCAAATTGTAATGGTGCATCTTCTGTTTTAATTCCCATGTGTGCTTTCAAATTAATTAAATTAAAATAATCTCCACAATGCTCACATTTATATTTTACCTCTTCACACGTTTGTATGTTTATCTCTGAACGGCTAGACATTTCAAATTGTTTTTCAACTTCATTGCATTCATTCATATTTTTCTCCTCATGGATAATATTAACAGGAAACAAATTTAGATGACAATTTTCAATAACAGAATATTCTGTTTTAACTGAAATTAAGCATGTTTCATTAGGTCTGTCTTTACTTTCTTCATTGTTGGAAACATCACTGCAAGTGTCTAAAATATAAAAAGATATAGCAAAAAAATAAGAGCAATCTGCTAACGCTCAATATTATATAAGTAAAGTAAATGATAAGATTACTGTGCTGTATTAGTTATTGAAGAAACTTTTTTTGTAATGGGAGGCCATGTTAACCTGCTCGTTTTTGACCCTGCTAAAACTGTTCCAGTCAAATTAATAACAGCAAACAGATATCAATTCATGTCATACGCAAGAAGAAAGACTTGCAGTACAGAATAAACTGAATTACAAAAAAGTATAATAATTTTTTTTTAAATGATGTAGGGTCAAAAATCAATGGGATGGTAAATTATAGAGTATTTCTCTACTTTGAAAAATCAATAACTAGAAAAGAAAATTAAATATTAAATTTTCTAACTTTGTCTATTAAGTAAGTTACTATCTAACTTTCTGTTGAAAATTAGTATTAGAATTTCTACATTTATTGTGCTGATGTTGCTAAATCTGTGAGTTTCTCCTTTTTTATGCGGGTCATTAGGGCCTTGGTGGAGTAGTACCCTTACAGGGGCGGATTTGGGGGCGCCAGCCCAGCCCCTCTCCTTTTGGGAGGTTAAAAAAGAGGGGAAAAAAAAAGAAAAAGAAAAAAATGATAGCCCAGAATGCCTCAAGTGTTATTCTAGAACACAAAAATTTCGCAGGAGCATGCTCCCGGAATCCCTGGAGCAGTGTTGTCTCGATCGGCCCAAATTTCGGCCCCTACTTTTGGCCCTCCCTCTTGTGGACATCTCTGGATCCGTCCCTGCCTTAACCGTCATGCATAGTTTTCTTGGTTCAGGTAATATGCCGATCATTAGAGCCTTAGTAAGTACCACCACTACAGGCTGTGATGCATAGCTTGATTAGGATTGGGGTATGCAGGTCATATCTACTTTAGTAGAGCAACATTTCTGTGAGGCACAGCTACCATTGTATTGCTTTTTTGTGTGATTTTCACTGTGTTTGTGTGAATATTGGCCCTATATGGTACCTGTACTAACAGAAATTAAATTTAAAATTGAATCCGTACTCGCGCGAATAAGCGCCAGGGCATTTAAAATATTTTTTGCACTTTCTGAGGAGCGCCTATTCAAACTGGGCGCTAAGTTGGAAATATACTGTCTGTGTAGGGATCGGAGCTCTCATCTGCCCGAGAGAAATCCTCATTTTGATATTGACCTATAGAAGAATGTGATTCCACTCTGCAGCTCAAATCATGCCAAAACCACAGTCCCAGAATTGATTGAATTATTGACTTGCTAAAAAGAAAATCTTATGATATTATTTTAGGAGGCGTTTATTCAAATTAGAAGGGGCGCTTATTCAAACAGGGCACTTAAGGAAATTTTCATGTTAGTAGGGGCGAGTACTCAAGAGGGGCACTTAAATGGGGTGCTTATTCGCACATTGAATAAGACAAAACACACTAAGACTAAAATTTATAAATGTTCATAAATTCATTATTTTCTAAAATCTTTCAAATTATATTTATGTTTATGGTGATTAAATCCATAATGTACAGAACTCAGCATGTAAGGTACTGTAGTTGGATATATGTACAGCAATTAATACGAAGCCATTCTTCAATAAAAAAAAAAAATTTTGAATGGTTTATTTATTAATTTTTTTAATTGAAATAAAATAAATATTAAATAAAACAAAAAATGTATTATGTTCTCATTCAATCCATATTAATAAGGAACAATGTTATAAATTACACACCTATTTCAAATTCAATTTCAGAATTCTTTTCCATATTATGTTGCACTATTTTTTCAAATTCTGCCATAGCCTGCTAATTCTTTCAAAGACAATTATTGATATATCTGGATATTTTCAGATCTGGAATAAAAAAAATAATTTAATGTGCATTAGGATCAAAACAAGCAAAACAGAGTTCTGTAAACTTCTAGACCTTCACATTTTTTGTGTGTATCACTCTCTGTAAGTTTGCTAGGCCTCTTCATCACATCATTTATAATAGTGTGGAATTTTATCCGAAAAATATTAAACATTTCCCCATGCTAAGCCTGCTATGTGTATTAAAATGATGCTTCACAATGCCAATGGGATGGCTGGGACTTGCACAACAGCAACAGATGAAGTGGATCAAATTTAATGAGATAAATGATGAGATAAAAAAATCACATTTCATACTCAGAAATACAGGTCTACTGTAATGTAAATACTTAAAATAACTAACCTAAAAATAATCTAAAGATTAAAACGTCTTACAACAAAAAGATTATACCAGAGCAGGACTACTTAAGAAATACTGACTATGATGTAGAATCCACTTTAGGTGTAAAAGAAAAAAACATTAACATTACACAATTTGATAAGCAACAATACATTTATACTATTGTTGTGAATTGTTTAGTTGTGAACGTTTCTCCCACGCATTCATGATGTATTTTTACAGAAATTATCAAAAATAGAGGTATCACAAATATTAGAAGACTGAATAATTTAAATAATTTAATTTTAATATCATCATTTGTTGTTGAAAAAAGTGTCCGTGTCCATGTATCATAATCGTTACAGAGTAGGTCATTTTCAA